TATTACATTATCTTATGTATATAATTTAGATTCCATGTTCTTTTAATAAGATGATGCTACACACTACTTTCTTCTGAGTCAAACAACTACCATCTTCATGACTTCAGCTGTGTCCACTAGCAAAAGATCATCACAACTGGATTTGTTGACTTGAGTACTGTTATTCTTTATTTAAAGGAGGAGGGGTAAACAGGGTCATTGGACCCTCACCTGAGTATCCAACTGCTCTTCCCAGCCAACTGTATGTAATTTGGCTCTAATCACATATGGTCTCCTGGGTTTGGGGAGGACTAAAATACATTATCTGGGGAAGGCTAGGAAAAAAAGGCTTGATCCATGCTGGGTTAAGGCTTTCCAGAGCACATACTCTCAGGTCACTCATACACCTCAGCTAACCCCTCAGTCATCTCTGTAAATAAGCTCAATAAATTTATTGGTTCCTCAGAAAAACTTCAATGTAATCAAACATTGGTTTAATACTATAACCTAAAAAGGGGATAAACATTGCTTAGTATCCCCAGGAAAAAAATTCTCACAACAGATAAAAATTTGTTGGCCAAGTGTGGTGGCGTACGCCTTTAGTCCCAGCACTCAGGAGGCAGAGGCAGGAGGATCTCTGTGAGTTTGAGGCCAGCCTGGTCTCCATAGTGAATCCAGGCCAGCTGGGGCTACAGGGAGAGCCTGTCTCAAAATAAAATTAAAAAAAAAAAAAATTTATTTGTTAATGTTATTATGTCTCATAGTTATAAAAAAAAAAAAAGTAAAAGATGTTAAAAAGACATAAAAATAGAGATATTTTATTTAAAAGGTTTTATGTGTAAAACTTAAAAATAAAAAAGCCTAAGCAAATGATGGCAGTCTATGTAGGTTTATTAATGATCTATCAAGGATGAGACAAAAATAATATATAAATAATCTTAAATTTTCTAAGGTCATAGTTTAATCAACTAGTTTAAGGATGTCTCATCAAAGTTTATTTAAAAATGTTTGTCTTTTGCCCAAGCTTTAGCTACATGACACATGGTAATTAAAAGTACCAGACTGGTGTAACTAGCCTTCTTGAGTGTTTAATAGCCAGACTTTTGAGGCCTATACTAATCTGGTCAGGACTGAAAGGGATAATTTTTTGTTCCTTGCCCTCCAAGGGCGACTAAGTTCCAGGGGACTATGGAGCATCTCTTGATATGTCCTTTAACTGGTGAGTCACCTGTCCTCTTGTTTAGGGAGGCCATGGAGACGCCACAAGGTGGACCTGAACCAATGTCCAGTCTACAAAGAGGAGGGTCAACACAGAGGAAACATTTCCTCCATGCTTCCAAGCGAAGCCCAGGTCAAGCAGGACCTTGTGACTTATCTTCACATAGATGGAACTGATAAAAGAAAAGCCTGAGGAGCCAGGGGCTCCCCCCAAAGCCCATGTGACCCCTGAGGACCAAATCCTCATACAACCTTAAGAGTAAAAATAAATTGGTTTATTTGGGCCAACAGTATGGTCTCAAACACCCAAAAGGAAAGTATAACCAAAGATTAAAGTCATCAGTATATTTTGTTAAGAATTCAAGGGATTACACATCCCAGGCATTAAACTTATGTTCTTATGTTATTTAGACAATTATCTCTCATTGATGATTTTGTTCCTAATAAGACAATGCTACTCAGATTAAGACTTTAAATCTTGGTCTACAATACTGTAGTGCCCACCTGCAGTTGAGGGAGGCAACCCATTATGGTTCTAAAATGATGGATAAATTTGTTTTCTCTTCCTGTCTAGAGGCCATTTAAGAGGGAACTGATTCTAGCCACTCCAACAGTTATCAAAGTGCCTGACAACAAATTCTGAGTTCATCAATCATCAGTCCAGCCTTGACAGGCAAAATTAAAATGAGGAGGAACCCAATAGATGGATGCTTTTGGAAGCCTTCATCAAAAAATTCCAGTGGACTTTAATTTTGAACATTTGAAATTTGTCCTGTTCTGACTTTTTCTGGTTCCCTGCCTAGAAATTGTAACACAAACTACTCTTGCCTTTACTTTTCCTTCACATCTCCTTAGCACCAGTCAAGGACCTTCTTTTCTCCCTATAGTTAAGAGTTATGGAATTTGGGAGTCCTTTAGATAGACCCACTGAGGGGGGTACCCCAAGTGCCTCACCCTGCATCCCTGTTCAACATGGAAGAAGCCAGAACGGTCTGCTTCCCGATTCCCTACTGGCAATCTGGGTAAACCTCTTCAGAGGACGGTATGATAAAAATAGGAGGTAAAAACTGGCTAGGCAGTTAGGGTAAAAAGACCCCAAAGAAAAGTAGCCAGTTTCTTTCTTGGCTAAAAGTCAAATTGTCCTTGGGTCTTTTAACAATGTACTCTGTCTCAAAGGCCAAAAATGTTAAAAAGTATTTGGGAGCTTTTATCCATAAAAGATTTTAGGGTTACCTCTTCAGAGGGGGGAATGTTACAATATCAACAGCCCCATAAATTGAACTGGTCCAGGCTATAAAACTGTCTAGTCTATCTGTTTCCAGTCTCACTGGTCAATTACCTGGTGATAGAACCACTCCTAGGAAGACAGGTTCACCTTAAGTTATGCTAAATAGATGGGTGAAATGCCTGGTATGTTAATTAGATAGTAAATATTTCTACCTGGAACTAGCTCAGACCCCTGACAACACCTCCCCCCAAAACTTTCAGACCAGCCACAGCCATGTAGGTCTCCGTAAGTCTGCTTTCCTGAAGTCTTCAAAAACACGTGATTTCTCCTTTTCTTCTTCATGCCTTTCCTACTAAACATGCTTTCTCTAAGGCTTTGGGCTGCCCCTAGCATCTTGTAGTTGTTCACTTTTTCTCTAAAGCTTCCTTTTCCCAGCCACATGTCTGACCTCCAATGCAGGCTCTAAACCTGCATGGCTTCCATAATTTTCTTTCCTTCTTCCCACTATTCACCTCCTCAAGGCAACTGTCAAAATTGCCAGTTCATCTACCCTGACGATTTTTCTTCCCATGGTTTTCCAACCTCCTCCTTGCTTGAGTTCTACCCTTGTTAGGTCCCCTGCTAGCTCTATGTACCCTGCTTCTTGTGGCACGCTGTCTAATTCAATTTTTCAAAAGTCACAAGCAAGACACCATTAAAATCACCACCAACCAAGTCCTGGTCCAATACCAAACTATCCCTAATACCTTCTCTGAATTTGATGACACCCACTCCTTATAAAAGATAAAGGGGGAGATGCTGGGATAATCAGGAGTGCCTGGAATGTAGAGCATGGCCGCCAGGCTGAATATGTCCTAGTGAGGACGGCAGGAAACTGGCCCACTCCATTCTAGATACACTGTCTCTTAGCCAACAACCCCCAAGGAAAACTATTAAGCCTCTAATCCTTTAATACTAACTGGGTCCCTTGTAGATTATGCACTGGAGGACAGAACAAAAGCCAAGTAGCCTTAGAAGCCCCCTCTCTTCCCCTACCTACCAGCCTGCCAGAAAACTAACCCACCTCTTTGCCTGCAAACCTTTCCTATATAAACCTCTGCTTCCGCCATAATAAACAAGCTCTCCACTGACACAGCCTTCCAGGTGTTTCTTCCCATCATACTCACCACTGCCCGAGGCCTCCCTCCCCCCACCGGTCTCTCTCCTTGCTCTGACTTCCCTTGACGGGGACTGGTGAGCAACAGCCTCCTGGTAGCAACGGGGTTTACACTGAGGGGAGGCCGGCACCCCTGGATCTGGAGTTAAGGACGGTTCGTAGCTGTCATGTGGGTGCTGGGAATCAAACCTGGGTCCTCTACAAGGGCAGTCAGTGCTCTTTAACCACTGAGCCAGCTTTCCAGCCCCTCAAAAAGATTTTTCAATATCTAAACATTTTTCTTCAAAAGGATTCAGTCACTCAGTTGCTCCTCAGAAGCTGAAAACCAAGATAGGTAGGCAGGCAGGCAGGCAGGCACACATGTGCGCACATACATTAAAAAAAACCATTAAGCTGGGCATGGTGGTGCACGCCTTTAATCCCAGCACTCGGGAGGTAGAGGCAGGCAGATCTCTATGAGTTCGAGGCCAGCCTGGTCTCCATAGCAAATCAAGGCCAGCTAGGGCTACAGGGAGACCCTGTCTCAAAAAAGACAAAAAAAAAAAAAACCACTACAGAAAACACATTCTTTCAGCAGTTAACATATTTTGGGAGGAATTTTCTTTCTTTTAAGTATCGAATGCTCTGCATATTTCAGTGTCATCCTTACACAAACAAATGCTCATCTCTGTTGTCCCAATTTTACTGCTAACACATTCTTTTGCATAAATAGTTACAATCTTATCCTTCTCAAATTTGGAACTGATTACAATGGGGACTGATGGAACTTACTGAGGTGCTACACGTCTCCAGTAACGATCAATTCCATGTTTAAAATACAGCACAGCAAGCCACCTTACATTTATATCGAGGGTATGGTTGGTAAAAATGTTCTGTGAATTAAAAAAAAAAAAGTATTAGAATGAACATATAATCATTTTAAAAGTATAATTAACACACTAAAAATAAAGCGCAGATTTGTTTAACTGCTTTACTTTTTTAAAGGGTTATTTTTGTAGGGCTTGGTGGCACACACCTTTAATCCCAACACTCCAGAAGTAAAGGTAGGCCTGGGCTACATGGCAAGTTCCAGGCTAGCTGGGGCTACAAGGAGACTTTGTCTCAAAAAAGAAAGAAAAAGAAAAAAAGATTTATTCATTTTTATCTTAGTAAGTGTTTGCCTGCATGTATGTATGTGCTCCACATGCGTGCCATGCCCACAGAGGTCAGAAGAGGGCTTTGGATTTCCTGGAACTGGAGCTATGGACCACTGTGAGCAGCCATGTGGGTTCTGGGAACTGAACCCAGGTTCTTCTGCAAGAACAACAAATATTTTTAACCCCTGAGCCATCTCTCCAGATCCTGTTCCATTCTTTTTAATATGAAGTATGTGTGAGTGCATGTATGTCCATGTTCATTGTGTATAGTTATATGTGAAAGCCTGAAGAAAACCTTAAATGTCATCCTCAGAAATGCTACTGACCTCCTCCAGATAGGGCCTCTCACTAGCCTGAAGCTTACCAATTAGGTCAGAGTGGGTGACCAGTGAGCTCCAGGGATCCTCCTGTGCCCACCTCCCAGCACTGGGAGCCTAGCATTTTTACATGGGTTCTGGGGAATTCAGGTCCTCATGCTTGTGAGGCAAACACTTTACTGAGTTATCTTCCCATCCCTATTTGTTGGTTTTTTGAAACAGAGTCTTATATATCCCAGGCTGGCCTCAAACTTGATTATTATCGAGGCAAGAATGATCTTAAACTTCCTGCCTCCACCTCCAGGTGCTGAAATCACAGGCAAGTACCACCATGCCCAATTTATGAGATGCTGAAGACTGAACAAAGGACTTCATGCATGCAAGGCCAGCAATCTGCTTACTGACCTAAAATCCCAGTCCAGATTTTTTGAATTGTTTAAATTTCATCACTACATATATTATATTGATATTTTCTAATATATATACTCCTACAATCTACTTTAAGAAAGCATTACTCAGGTATGGTTACACACACGCCTGCAATTCCAGCATTTAGGTAATCACACACATACACACACACATACACACACACACACAGAGCCCTCATGCCTACACACACACACACACACACACACACACACACACACCCTCATGCCTGTAATCCCAGTATTTGGAGGTTGAGGCAGGTACATCTCAAGTTCCAAGCCAGCCTGGAAGACATAGTAAGACCTTGCTGGCTGCCTCAGAAAAAAAAATTGCATGCCTCTTCAGAACACTTCTCTAAGTTTAATTGACAGATATGTGAAGATTCATTAAACTATTCTTTTGAAATTTTTGATAAAAAAGTTAAAGTGCTGGGTGTGGTGGTATACACCTTTGATCGCAGTACTTGGGAGGCAGAGGCAGCCAGATCTCTGTGAGTTCAAGGCCAGCCTCATCTACATACTGAGTCCAGGCCAGCAGAGGCTACAGGGAGACCCTGTCTCAAAAAGACCAAAGGAAAACAAAAACTGAAGTAACAAGTAAGCATAATCACATAAACACACACACCCTAAAATAAATATCTTATTCTTAAAACCTTTAATCCCAGCATTTGAAGGCAAAGGCAGGCAGATCTGTGTGAGATCAAGGCCAGCCTGATCTAGTCCAGGCAAGCTGGGACTACAGGGAAACCCTGTTTCAAAAAGACCAAAAAAAAAATTAAATATTTTATTTATTATTTTTATTTTATGTGTATGAGTGTATTGCCTGCATGTATGTGAGTTCACCCGTGTCATGCAATGCTGCAGAGGTCAGAAGAGGGCTTCAGATCCCCTGGAACTGGAGTTAAGGACGGTTCGTAGCCGCCATATGGGTGCTGGGAGTCGAACCCAGGTCCTCTGCAAGTGCAGTCAGTGCTCTAAACCGCTGAGCCATCTCTCCAGCCCCCAAAAAGACCAAAAAAAATTTTTTAATTAAAAAAAAAAAAAAGTGAGCAGGTATGGTGGCACACACATATACGCAACACCAAGGAAGCAGAGGCAAGATCACAGCAAATTCAAAGGCAGCCTGGTCTATGCAGCAAGTTCCTAACCAGCGAGGGATACACAGCAAGACCCTCTCTCAAAATAAGTAGGCACCACCATAGCAGAGATTCAAACACCCTAAGGTATCAAGGCCCTTGGGTTGTTAATACTTGTAAGAAATTGTGATGGTGAATCTTGACAGGACTCAGAATAATCGAGGACACAAGCCTCTGGCCATGCCTGTGAGGGATTATTTTGATTCTGTTCATTGAGTTGAGAAGACCTACCCTACAAGTGGGTGGCTCCATTCCCTGGGCTTTGTGCCCTGGACTGCATAAGAAGGAGAAAAGCTAGCTGAGCAAGAGCATTTATCTCACTCTGCTTCCTGACTGCAGATCAGTGAACAGCTGCCTCAAGCTCCTGCACCACGCCCTCCTGCTATAATGGACTATACTCCCAAACTGTGAGTCAAAACAAACCCTTCCTACCTTCCTTAACTTGCTTTTATCAAGAATATTTTATCACAGCAATAGGAAAATACAGAAAAAAAAAAACATTCCACAGTAAAAATACTTACCAAAACAATCATGCTTACAAATAAGTTTGACAGTACTTTTAAGTGATATAAAGTGAGGTCTGATTAAAAAAAAAAAAATTATGTTAATTCAACCAATAATCCACACCATTACTGTTTTTGGTTGGTTGGTTGGTTGGTTGGTTGGTTGGTTGGTTGGTTGGTTGGTTTTTTGGTCTTTTCTTTGAGACAGAGTCTCTGTGTGTAGCCCCAGTTGGCCTGGAACTTGTTGTGTAGACTAGGCTGGCCTTGAACTCAGATCCGCCTGCCTCCGCCTCCCACAATTACTGTTTTGTACAGTAGTGGCAGACTACAAAAACATCAAGCTAAACCATGTAACATGAACTTAGTAATCAACAAGGAAATGTCTACTGTTCCATGACCTTTAAAAAGGTTAGTTAGTCCAGGCCAGGCATGGTGGCTCACACCTGTAATCCCAGCACTCTGAAGGCAGAGGCAGGCGGATTTCTGTGAGTTCAAGGCCAGCCTGGTCTACATAGTGAGTTCCAGGCCAGCCTGGGCTACAGAGAGATCCTGTCTCAAAGGGTTAGTCCAGGTCAGAGAGACCCTGTCTCAAAAAGAATGAATGAATGAATACTAAATATAAATATAAATAAATAAAAAGGTTAGTCCAGGTCAGGCATGGTGACAATTAAAGGGAATCACCACCGATACTCAGGAGACAAAGGCAGACTGATCTCTGAATTTGAGGCCACCCTGATGAACATAACAAGTTCCAGTTATGTTAGAAGGTAAAACATCATTAGTGGTGGTTCTTAAAAAAAGTTACAGGTACTAACACTTTAAGGTCCTTCTCCCTGTGTGAGTGTTGGTTTGAGTGTGTGTTCAGGCTATCTATAAATTTACTATGTAGACTAACCTGGCCTCAAACTTCAGATCCTCCTGCCTCATTGCCTCAGTGTCCTAATACTGGATTCACAGGTGTATCCTATCATGCCCTGGAACAGAAACTATTCTAGGAAAGTTTTTTTCTCCTTCAATACTCAGGAAGATGAGGCAAGATGATGAAGGGTTCAAGACTAGCTATTCTACAAAGCAAATTCCTCACCAACCTAGCTTACAGAGTAAAACCCTATCTCTAAAACCAAATAATTAAAAAATTTGTGCTGGGGATATAGTTCAATTGGCAGAGTGCTTACCTAGCATACACTATGTACTAGGTTGAATGTCCAGCATCTTATAATCCAGGCATGGTAGTGCATGCTTGCAATCTTAGCATTAAAGAGGTAGAGGCAAGAGAATAAGAACTTCAAAATCATCTTTGGCTACATAGCAAGTTTGAAGCCAGCCTGGGATAAATGAGATCCTGTCTGAAAAACGAAAAAAAAAAAAAAAAAACCACACAGAAATTTATTCATGTACCTAGGTACATGACACTCTGGAGTGATTCACCATAAACAGCAGGAAGCATGCATATAGTACTCTACACAAATGACTGTATACACAGGCTGGGTGTGTGGCACATGCCTATAATCCCAACTAGGGAGGCTAAATGGGAGGATCTTTAAGTCAGAAGTCAGCACCTGCTACACAGCAAGATATGGTCTCAACCCCCTCCTCCCAAAATTCTACATATACAAATATATACATACGTCTAATAAATAAGCATGCCTTATAAAAATGTAGAAATAAATGTATAACACCAGGCGTGGTGGCACATGCCTTTAAACCCAGCACTCAGGAGGGCAAAGGCAGGTGGATCTCTGTTGAGTTCAAGGCCACAGCCTGGTCTACATAGTGAGTTTGAGGCCAGCTGGGGCTACATAGAGACCCTGTCTCAAAAAGACCAAAAAAAAAAAAAAAAGAAATGTACAAATACCTCAAATCAAAACATACAAACAAAAACATAGGAAAAATAAACTTAAGCAGTTGTTATTAATAATTCAAACATTCACTCAAGAGGTGGAAGCAGGAAAATTAGTTCAAGCCCAGCTCCTGCTATATCCCCAGTTCAAGGCCAGCCTGAGCTACATAAGACCTTGTCTCAAAAAACCAGAAAATACACAAGACCCTGCCTTATTAAAAATAAGTAAATTTCTATATGGAAAAAGAAACCAATGTTTTAAAGTGAAATACAGGATATAAGGGGAAATGATCAGTTCACTGGTGAGTGCTTGCCCTTGCCCAGCATGCACCAGACTCTAGATTTGATTCCCATTAATACTAAATGAAAAAAAAAAAAAGAAGAATAAGAAGAAAAAGAAAAAAGAAAAATACTGAGCATGGAATTTCTAGGCTGATGCTTAACAATTCTAAGATAAATTCATTGAGGTAGAGATGAAGACACAGTATTTTATTTTATGTGCATGTGTGTATTGCCTACCCATGCATGTAAATGCACCTGTGTCATGCAGTGCCCACGAAGGTCAGAAGGTATCAGATCCCCTGGAACTGGAGTTACAGTTGTTAGTCACCATGTGGGTGCTGGGAATCAAACCTGGATTCTGTACAAGAACAGCCAGTGCTCTTAACCATCTTATACTCTTAATGCCAGCATCAATGTGCTAAAATTGAAAAAAGACCAGTGTCGCCTTCTCAGGCACTGAGAATATACCCTGTCTAATATTTCACACACAATGAATGCTTCAGATAGTAAAAGCATGAAAGTCATTAATTAACCCAAAAAGAATAGAGCTAAAGCAGATGACTTCCTTTGTTAAAAGTTATTAATTAAATTGCAATAAAAAGATTCAAAATGACAACTCATCAACAAACACTTCTACAGCACCCTCAATCAGTCATTCCCTACATTAATGTGATGACGGTGCAATGACAGCAAATATTTGGATCAGTTTCACTAAACTATCAATAAATCTATGTGTTTAAAGAACTACTAAAATAATGTTGTCTCACTTTATTAAAAATCAACTATTTCAAGAACTACTTACCAGCAACACTGAATAGAAACCTGGCTGTGTCTCCCACTGTTTCAACTGCTCTTCAGCTGGCTTTAAGACAGCAGTATCCTGACTGGTGGCCTGGGTTAAGACCTGAAGAACTACAGTGCTGGCACTATTGAGATCCATGGAATCCTGCAAAGATAAGTTAGCATGCCTGAAGACACATTCTATACAACAAAAAAGAACAGTCACATACATAAACGGAGGAAAATGCTTTCATGTTTTAAGATACACTTCACCTCCTCACCTGCTCACAGTTTCTGACTTCAACCTTGTCTATGTACTTACTATCCTGCTACTTCAAACGCCCATAATTCAAATTACTTTCACTTAAATCAATTTATTTTTAAAGGAAACTGCCTTTTTATATATATTTTATTTATTATTTTTATATGTATGCATGTATTGCCTGTTATGTAGGTAAGTGCACCCATGTCAGGCAATGCCCGCAGAAGACAGAAGAGGCTGTCAGAGCCCCTGGAACTGGAGTTACGGACAGTTGTTAGCTGCTATGTGGGTGCTGGGATTCAAACCCAGGTCTTTTGCAAGAACAGTGTTCTTAACCACTGAGCCATCTCTCAAGCCCCGAGAAACTGCCTTTTATTGCTTCACAAATCAAATAAGAGTAACAGATTGGGGAGCCCACATAAACAAAAATCAAAGTTCTCAAATTCTGATAAACAGCATTTTCTAGGGAGTCAGAGGCAGTGGGATCTTCTTACCTCAGCCTCCCAGTGTTATAAAAAATATTTTAAAGAAACAAGACAAATGCAAAAAATACAAAACACGAACATACACACAAAGACATGCATAAATCCCAGTACTCAGGAGGCAGAGGCAGGTGGATCGCTACACGTTCAAAGCTAGCCTGATCTACATAGGGAGCTGTAGGCCAGCAAGGATCACATAGTGAGATCCTGTCTTTTAAAAAAAAAAGACATCCATACCTAAGAAATGGTATTTGAAAAATAAACTGACTTGATTTGAGATCCCAGCATACAGCAGCAGGACTCTGACTGAAATAAACACATACATACACACACACACACACACACACAAACACACACACACACACACACACACACGAGGAAGAGGAAGGAGACTCTTGTATTAAATGTTTGTGGACCCTTCCCTAATTCATATGCTGAAATTTAATCCCTCATGTCAAAATACCCAGAGCTGAGAATTCAGGTAGATACTAAGTCATGGGGATGGTGCCCTTAATAAGAGAACACCAGAGAATAAGCTTATTCTTTCTGTCATATAAAGATACAATCAAGACTCTGCAACCAAGAAGATGGCCCTCCATCAGTACCCAACTATGGTGGCACTTTGAGTCCAAGACCAACCTGGGCCAAGAGGATCTTGTCTCAACAAACCAAATATAAGGCCAGTGAGATGACTCAGAGAGTATAGGTGTCTGCTATGAAGACTAATGACCTAAGATCAATCCCTGGGACTCAGAGAGAACCAACTCCCACAAGGCAAGTTGTCCCCTGACCTCCACTATGTACACTATGGCCCTAATGCACACACATCACATGCATCAGGAGCTTCCTTATACCAAAATGGGACACATTAAGACAACAAAACTTAGTAATACTTTTCACTGAGGATATTTAATGTCCCTTTTACCAATCCTATGCTCTCCGTTCAACTGTTACTTGGTTTCTTTTCAGACTTTTCTGCCTTTACTCATTGAATAAGAATGTACTGAACAGGCCAGTGAAATGGATCCATGTGGGTAAAAGAGCTTGCCATCAAGCCTGACAATCTGAGTTTGATCCCCAGGACCCAATGTTAAGAGAACTGACTCCCAAGTTGTTCTCTGAGCTCCACATGCACACTGTGGGCACACATGAGCCCACAAACATACACAGATACAAATAAATAAATTAAATAATAAATAAATAAATAAATAAATGTAAAAATTAGTTTAAAAAGAACACCTACAAATACCAGACACTTCTAGACAACTGACACATAGGAAAAAGGAATTTAAAAATCATGCCCTTCTATATTGGAGAAAAGTAAATGTGAACACAATATAGTTAGTTATGAAGGCAGGATATGGGACCATGAGGGGGGCAGCTATGAGAGCAGTCCTGTACAGTAAGCCTGAGGATTTTCCCATCACTGGGACTTTCTTAAACTGACATTCTTAAGCTGCAAAGGGTTTCCTACTTGTCTGAGATACAAAGATACTCTCAAACAGAAAAAACTAAAACTTACTAAATAGCAGTGACACTTTGCCAAGGCATGCCCATCCCTGGGGCCTCAAGGGGTGTCCAACTACTGACACCTCTTTCAAAACAGAACTGTCCATCTATACAAAACTCACTAAAAATAAACAATTATGTGTGTTGCTTTTTAAAGTCCTTCTCTGATATTAAATAAAGAAATAACAAAAAAAAAGTTCTAACCCTGATTTTCAGCAACATACCGATTTGAAATAACAGCATAGATTACATTTATTGGAATAGACTATGACCAATTTAAATTACTGGTCATAAGCTTAACCAAACCTTTTGCTAAGTATAATAAATCTTCAGTCTTCTCCAAATACAAATTCCTTTAATTGGCACTTTCCAATTACTGGTCCAGATGTCAATCTATAAAGCTAAATATTAGAAGAAACTCATTCTAATAGGTTAAGTTCAACCTAAGGAGTCACTGCATGCACTCATTCATGTATTTATTGAGACAAGAGTCTCATGTGGTTCAGGTTGAGCTCAATCTCAATATGTAGCCAACGCTGACCTTGAACCAGTCATCCTCCTGCCTCTACCTCCCCAGTGCTAGGATAACAGGTTATCATTACCACACCCTGCAAGTCATTGCATTTATAAAATTCTATTTATTTAAACATGCATGGGCTGTACATCCAATAATGCTATTACAGTTAAGAATCATTTTACATTTATACTAAAATAATTTTTGTCACCTTGGAGCCACCAATTCTGGTCTTTAAACAGCTGGTGTTACCTAGCTGAAGCACTGTTTTACTGCTCCAGAAACTGTAATCCTGGCATGATTTACATGCCTGTAATCCCAGCACTCAGAAGGCTGAGGCAAGAGGATCACAATTTAGAGGGCAGTATGGGCTACAGAGTAAGATCTTATCTTAAAGGAAAGAAGGAAGGGAGGGAGGAATGGAGGGAAAATGTGACTTCTCTAAGGCTTGTTAGTGGCTCTCCTGAAACCTAGAATATGTTTTCTATCCCAACCCAACACTCTCTAGATTACCACATTTTCACTTTTTTATTTTTTTTTTTTCCTTTAGAGACAGGGTTCCCAGCTGACCTGGAACTAGCAAGGTGGACCAGGCTGGCCGTGATCTCAGAGATTCACCTGCCTCTGCCTCCCAAGTTCTAGGGTTAAAGGCATGTGCCACTACACCTGGCCACATTTTTACTTTTGATCTCAATACTCAATAGCTCAGTGAAATTAACTGGATTGTTTTTAGCTCTAGATTTAAAAAATAAAATATAACAGCAAGTCTATAGTCCATCTTCCTGATGGATTATATCAAAAGACTAAAATTAATGAAGTCGCTGAAGATATCATATGCAAGGTTAACAAGGTGAAAATCAAGAGAAAAAAATGAAATCACTAAAACTAAAAGAGTAACTACACAAGGAATCTTTGTGAATCAAGAACAAGAAATACAAAGCCAAGTCACAGGACAGTCACATGACTAATAAATAGTAAAAGATGATACTTTACTGCTTTTCAGGTATTTGAAAACAGAAAACATTAAGATGCTGTTTCATGCCACTAACGTGGTGGTACATGTCCATAATCCCAATACTTGAGGTGGAAGCAGAAAGATCAGGAGGAGTTTAAGATCATCTTTGGCTACTGAGCAAACTCAAGGCTAGCTTAGGCTGTATGAAACCTGCCTAATAAATAAATCATCATATTGGCAAAATTGAAGAAATTCAAAAACATCAAGAACCAACAAGAATGTGAGCTCTGCCAGGCATGGTGGCACACGCCTTTAATCCCAGCACTTGGGAGGCAAAGGCAGGCTGGTCTCTGTGAGTTCAAGCCCGGTCTACATAGTGAGTTCCAGGACAGCTGGGGCTACAGGGAGACCCTGCCTCAAAATGACCAAAAAGAAAAAAAAAAGAATGTGAGCTTTAGCCTGGCATGGTGGCACACGCCTTTGATCCAATCAGCAATCAGGAAGTAGAGGCAGACAGATCTCTGTAAGATGGAGGCCAACCTGATATACACAGCAAGTTCCAGGCCATCTAGGGCTACAGGGAGACCACCTCAAAAAATAAAAAAACTGTCAACTAATTACTACAGTATCCTGTCTGAATCAAACTCTTTCTTTTTGGTAGCACAAGACCAAAGACTGCTGCTGGGGGCTCGACCAGAGGAAACTGGGAGCTTCCTGTGACAGAACCACTTCAGAGAGCAATCTTGCTGTCCCTAAACAAATGAGTAAGTATGAGTGTATACTGTGTGAATCCCATATCCAAGATAGACAGCTGGTGCCAGAACCAAAGAAACTCCTACATACATTTATCAAAGGAGATAAGGACAAGGTACCGAACAACAGACAACATGTGCCCTTTCTTAAATTTGTTCTCTGGCTGGAAAGCTCCTGCTTCTAGACAGAAGCAAGTCTTGCTCTTTAACATCATTCTGCTAAAAGAGCAGACTTGGGTCTAAAATAGTTCACCACACCTCAATCCAGATTTTCTACTGTCCGACAGCCGTTATTTTTTCTGTGCGATACTATTAACAATCTTACATGTTAATTATGTATAATGCGATATATCCAGATCTCTTGATCTGAATTTAATGGCCAAGAACCAGGGACTTAAATTTGTCCAAAGCTAGATCCTAGAATCTAGAATAGTATATGGTACATTAGAGTAATGAAGAAATGACTGCTAAATAAATGAAATCTTTGGCCAGATGTTAATGGGTCAAAAGTGAAATCCCAGTACTTTCCTATCTTGGGAGAGCTGCAGAAAGAACCCAGACATCCCAGGTGTAGTCTCCTGCCCAGTGCACGCACAGTTCACAAATCCTGTAAAGTAGTTTGCAGTTTCACTTGATGGAGCCACTGCAAGGGATATTTGGCCTTTTATTTATAAATTCATTGGTGCACCTAT